TAGGAAGTATTACAGTATCATTTCGGATCCTACACGACAAAAGCTCAGAGACCCATCTTTGCTTTAATCTCCAAACTTTAGCTTTGGCAAGAAACTTTGATTTGTCCTCTCACCTAATCCAAATTCCACCCAATCTTATTACATTAATTACATTTTACGAAATCTAATCTTAGCCCTCGGCCAGTCGTCCAAAGGACTTTTCACCCGCAAGCGGAGAAACATTTTCTGTACGCGCGCGCATTTCGCTTACCATGCACCGGATCGAATGTCGTTACCTGGGCTACGTGTCGACTGACGATTGGTCAGTCAGCTTAGTTACAAACTCGATTACTCTTCAACATCGGCGCGTGAATTTTCAACGCGCGTGCAGGACCCCGGATGCTTTCGTCACGGGCCCTCTTTTTCTTCTCACATTTCAAACGAACCCCGAATATTTTCACATCACCACCTAAACCCTCGCCATTGTCGCTGACTTTTTCTTCATCTTCATTGCCGACGCCACGACCACCGTCGAATCCATCGCCGGCAACAATCCCGATGCTTCTCCGCTGTATGATCTGATCGATCTGGTCCCTCCCCACTTTCAGAAACTCCGACAAGAACGCCACCAACTCCTCGCACTGCTTCTTCGCCGACGCGAGCTCCGAGCTCAGAATCTCGTTGCTTCGCCGGAGCTTCTCGTTTTCGCCAGAAAGTTCAGCGAATTGTGTCGTTACAGAGGCGGGGTTATTCGGATCGGGGAACGAAGTCGACGTTGAACCCAGTTCGTCGCCGGAGTTCGATTGCGAAGATAGCCCCGCGCCGGCTCCTGCAGAATTCACGGCGGTGGAACTCATAGGAGCCGCCGGCTTTCGGCGACGGATCTCAGAGAGAAGCTCCTTCTGCCCTCGCCGGAAATTCTCGTTGGCGAACTCCCATTTATCAGGAACAACCTTCCGGAACCCCTAGCAAGAGATTCCCGATTTTCACCATCAGAATCTAAATTACGACTAAAACATAGAGAGAAATTAAAAAAAAAACTTTTTTTTGGTTGCTTACGTAAGTGTTGAGTTGACGAACAAAGCTGGAGAAATTGTTGTGCTTGAAGAAACGGGGAAGCAAATCGCGAGAAAAGTCGGCTGTCTTCCAGACGACGAAGGCCGAGCCATCTTCGTTCCAAGAGACAACATCGTCGGTGGTCGGATCATCCACCAGTTGGTACGTCTTCACCAGAAATGGCGCAGGAACCGACCGCTGCACCGCCGCCGCCATGTATGTTTCCCTCAGAAACCCCCCGATCACCAAACCAACCAACAAAAAGAGCACAACTTTCCACTAACCCAATATCAATTCAACGAAAAGATCACAACTTTGTGAAAACCCAGAATCGATTCGACGAATCAACAAACACCCAGATACTAAAATCACAAAAAAAAAGTAGGAATTTCGAATAATCTCAGACTAATAATTGAAGAGCAAGAGAGAGGTGAGGAACTCCCAACCCCAGCAGTAGAAGCCGCAGAGAAAGGCGCGAGGAACACTGCGATTTGGCTGAATCGCGGATTTTTCCATTAGCTCGCAACAATCTTAACACGCCTCTCGTTGTTTCCTACAGAAAGAATCAATTTCATAACTCCCTCTTTTCTCTGCGTTTTTCTCCTCAAATATCTCTCTATATTTTGTAGTGTATTCTCCCACGCGAGCAGGCCAAACCTCAAGAATTTATAAAGGGGGAAAAGCGAGCGGCTTCTAGAAACTTTGAGAAATCTAAAAAAGAAGCCTTTGACAAGACTTGGTCGTGTACGAGTTTTTCTTTTCTTTCCTCCCTTTCTTTCTTTTTCTTCTCCATCGTGCACCAGTTGCAGCACGTTGGATTTATCTATCCAATCAAAAACAAGTTCTGTTATTTTACAAGTAATGCTAGCCGTTTTTAAAGCAGTTTTAATAAAAAAAATTAACAAATACTCCGTAGGTTTCAAAATAATTATTGTTTTAAATAATTTTATAAAAAAAGTCACTCATTAATAATTTAGTAGAATTTGATAGGGATAAAATTAAAAACTATTGTAAAAAAATATATTAAAAATATAAAATGACAAATATTTTGAAATATAAAAAATAATTTAAAATTATAAATATTTTAAAACGGATGAAGTATTATTTTATTTATTTTTTATAAGAGGAAAAGGAAAGTTTCCTTTTATCTTCTTTGTAACCTTATTTATCACATTTAACACACGTTTCTATATCTCCCCACACAACAGTAGGCAGCACGATGTCCATGTTTTCATTCTTCGTTCATATGCTGTACTTTTGTTCCTTCGAATTGGTCATACATGTACATTTGAATTGAAATTATATGTGTAATTTTTTTCAAGATCACGCTACATAATATATCTACATATGAAACGGTCGAACATGGCAACTACACAGGACATGATCCGCATCCGAACACAATATCCAAATGTGTAGGCACATCCATGCGTATATATGCATGGCTACGTTTTCAATGTTGCGGGCCACTTGACAATATCCGTAACTTGTTAAAATATGTTTCCTAATTGGTATTATTTATATATTATATACCCATATAATTGAATAATCAAATGATGGTAATATAGTCAGCTACCAAAAGTTTTTCGTAGACCATTGGTACAGTTATCTAAATTTGGTAAGATATCCCTTTTCGTTTGACTTTCACGAACCAACCTCTGCCTTGTATTAGTAATGCATGTATCCAAATTTCTTTTGTCTTCATGCTTAGTAAATTTCTTGTTAATAAAAAATTTGATGATTTCAATACTTTTGATTAAAGACGTCTAGTACGCCCTTTTATAATATTTCCATGCAATTAAGTGGGAATTTCGTGCTGGACAGTACTATATATATATATTTTTATATTAAACCCTAGACTTACGTTTCATTGTAGAAAAATAGAAAAAAAAAAAAGACAAAATGAATAGTATTTATTTGACCAATTTTGATAGATAATTGATTGTTTCGAATACTGAAATATCAACATCAGTTTGTATGTATATACCCAAATTTAGATAATTTAACTACTAAAATCGGATGCAAAACGTTTGTTCTATCTCGAATTCGAACTTTAAATTTAAATTTAGGGAAGATATATATATTTCAAATGATATGTACCGGAGATTTCGAAATTAGGCGTGTACCTTGTGAAAAAAAAAGTTTCGGAGATATATCCATTTAATTTTTTTTTTCAAATGAGGCCCGTTAGATATATCACACACGGGGAAAGTATTGGCTTCTTTCTTATGATATATTTGGGGTTCATTGGGCCCCCTTTTAAGAGGCCCATTTAATATATAAAACTTATATAGCCCATCTTGATTCTTCTCTTAATCTCTCATCCGGCCCTTTGCCACGTATGCATAATTACACGCAAGTATATATACAACATACTCTCTCACACACACACACACACACACACACACGTGTACATGTATATGTTTTATATATTCCTCTGACGAAGGACTCGTGTGCATATATATATATATATATATGTTTGGTTTAATGTGATTATATAGAGAGAGAGATATCGCTTTCACGAGAAAAGTTGGATCGTCATTTTTTTGTAAGCATTGGTATGATACGATAAACCTGGGTTGAATAACTAATGTGTATACATAATACGTGTAGGACACAAATTATAAAATGGTAAAATTAAACATATGATTTTATGTATCTTTATTTTTTTTTCTGTACTATGGTTTTATACCATTCTTTTAAATTATATAAAAAAAGGGGACTTCTAAGCATAAATTGCTAAAAAAAATATAGTACTGCCAAATATATATATATATATATATATATATATATATATATACGAAAATGTTGGCGTTAAAGGTAGGAAACCTACATTTTTTCAAAAGCAATTTGGCATATTATATATATACAAACAACAAATAACAAAGTAAGGAATAATGTTGTACGTACAAGAATTAGAATACCATGAAAAAATCCTTTGCTTGAAGAAAAGGGAAGCCTTGTTGTTCAAGAAACCGTGGATGCAAAATGAAGGCAAAAAAAAAAAAATAAATACCAAACTAATTAAATCATTTGTATTTTTTTTTTATAAACTTATATCCCAATTCTAAAATAGTTTTAATGTGTGTTGATAATGTCTTCTTGTTCGCATTTTTTGTTAGCCACAGGACCCATTCGTTATTATTAATTTTCGTTGAAAAAAATACGAAAGCGGTTAATTGTTTAAAATCTAATTTATCATGATTAAACTCTTGATATTTGAATTAAACAAAAAAACATTACGGTAAAAAGATTTTTAATCCCATTTAAATTGCACTAATACAATGCGCGAATCACTTGTTGTAGATCCTACAATTTAAGCTTATAATCTTATTTGTAAATTCAAATCAACTTTTGTAACCGTGCACCAAGCTAATCAAACTCGCGAATCTGTCAAATTCAAATTATAAATATCACAAATATTAGTAATCGACTCAATTGCAACGGTAATAAAATGCGATTCATGTGATATATATGCTATTGAAAACGTCGATATATTTTCTATATATAGTTTATCATTTTCTATAACTGATTTGCATTTTAGAAGGAATATATAAAACAAGGACGAATTCATGGAAAAATATATTTCGAAATCCAACAATATTAAAAACATCATAATAACCAATCATAAAAGGAAAATAATACCGAATAATTTAATTGGTAGCTCTTAGCACGCTGAGGGGTCAATTAAATCCCGATATCTTCCCATTTGGGTAAAAAAAAATCTTATTTATTCTAAATTAGTTAAATCCATGATTCTGTATTTGCTTATTAATATTAAAATATAAACGGATTTTAATGTTATGATCACATCCGTTGAAGTCAACGGGAACAATTATCAGAATATGCTCCGCACGTTAGATTTGTATATCAACAAACTCAAACCCAATCAACTCTTTGTGTTCTGTTCACATTCGCAATTCTGGTCCAAAACAAAACAAGGTTTTATCTTACAAAGTTGATCGAATTCAGGACTGTTTGTTTTGTCGTCTTTTACAAGCCTATCCCTGGCCAGGATCATTCTTATCCCCGCCATGGATAACGGTACAGAGTTTTAACGCCGTCAATTTCATCTCGGGGAAGATTGCTTAACGGTGCACGCCACCACCCTCGCCCACTGTCTCAGCCTCGTCTTCACCGTCTGCGGATTATCGCCTAAAAAACCAAAATAATCACAGAATTGAGATCCGTACACGCAGATTCACATACGTATGAGCACGCGTAGGTATATAATTATACGTACTGGGTTCGAAGATGGTGTGGGGGCTGTGGAGAGGTGAAGCCGAGGGGCTCTCGCAGTCAGGGAGGGAAGACGACGAGGCAGTGGACTTGTTGGAAACGGCGTCGTTGTAGCTTCGCTGGACGGCGAAGTAGAGGGGAAGGGCGGGGAGCGTGTGGGACAATCGCGGGTCCGATACTTCAGGCGATCCGAATCCGAACCCGAGCTCGATGCAGGCGTTGAGGTCGTCGAGGTCGTCGTCGGTGAGGCTCTTGCCGTGGCGGCGGTGGCGGAAGGAGTCGCGCCGCTTAGACCAGGCCTCGTCGCGGATGAGATCAGGGGACCATGAGTGCTGCTTCAAGAGCGGACACGGCGGCGCGTGGGGGTGACGCACCACCCCCGGCGAAGGGGTGTGCTGAGGTCCCTGGACCTCGCGCGCTATGGCTGGTTTTCCTGTAATAAAGTTGGGATTTCGAGGGTAAAAACGTTTGGGAGGCGGAGGAGGCGGTGGCTAGTTATAAAGGAACGAGATTCACCAAGTAACAAATGGGCCGTCGGCCCAAATTCACGAATCATGATGATATGTCCCATTTTTCTTTAAAAAAATATAATTTACTATCAAAATGATTTTTTTTAAATGTGTATTTACTAGCAGCAACCAGAACCACCCTTTTTTTCCCTCTTATTTTTCAAGGTCGCTTTCAAAAGGATATATTATTGTTTTCAATAAATAATTTCTCAGAAACATAGAAAAGTAAATTATTATGAGTCAATAATAATACATGATTCGTTGATTATCGTCCAAGTTGCAAATAAAATCATCTTTACTTGAATGCAAAATAAATTTTCGTGTAGTCTAAGCAACCACTTATAACGTTTCCGGATATAAACAGCTATCATTACAAAACACATAATTACAGACAATTTGCATTGCAACTCGAAGTTGCCGGATTTATGTCTTTGCAAAAAAAAAAAAAAGGAGTTTGGAAGCGTGTATGTTTATAGGTATTTACTACTATGTAAATTATGAATTGGATTATAAAAACATATACATGTACGTATAGTTATAATTATAAAAATGCACAGGGACTTCAGGAGGGCCCTACATTCAGGGGTTTCTTCCTTCAATTTTTCATTTTTTTTTTATAAATTTAAAACGTTTATTTTGTTTTTATCTATAGTTTAGTTTTTAGAGATTTTTAATTTCAAATATATTTAATGCCCATCATTTTTGTTATGTTTTATTGAACTTGTGAGCATATTATCTTAATTTTGTATATAAATCTAAAAATAAATAATAAAATCTATCAAACTATTATGTTTTGCAGAAATCATTTTCTCTTTCCATCTTCTACATGTAAATATAAATTAAAATGACTTAATGTTTTTTAGTTCTAATTTTATTGGGTTTTTTTTAAATTATAATTACTTATTCGATTATATCTTCTCATATTGAAAGAATCTCAGTATCGAATATTTAAGAAAAAGAATTAAAGAATTAACTAAATCTAAAAAATGTGATATGATTTTATGGGAAGTTTAAATATAAAAGATTTAATTAATCTTTTTATTTATTTTTTTAAATTTATACATTTTGATCAAATTCTTTATATCATTTTTGTTCATTTATATTACTTTAGAATATAATTATTTATATCAATTTTTATACCATACTTAATAAAAGTATTTTTAGATATTTATAAAAAATTTAAATTTAATTTTAATGTATTTTCTATGTAAAATCGTAAGAATTAGATGTTCTATATGCATTATATAGGGCCAAAAATACTTGATATATCCATAATACATAGGATTCGATCATTCCGTCCGCTTAGACAATGGTATAACGAACAGGAGACATAGTAAACTTTGTTTAATTCACTATCTAAAACAAATTAAATTAATCATATATGTAAATTTAGATGCGTCCACGAGTATGATCGCATGTGATGTGAGTCCACCGAGACGCGTGACGGGTTTTTTTTTTTTAACTGCGGCCCCCAAAGATTGTATGCTTCAACGGTCTCATTAAACTCGAACAAAAATAAAAATAAAATAAAGTCTAAATAGCCGACAAAAAAGGTAAAATTTGGAAGATACCTAAAAAAAATATTTATGTAAATAAAATAAAAAGCTAAAAATATACGAAGAAAAAAATCGAACTGATATTAAATTTGATGAATCCAAAGAAAATATACAATCAATTGGCAATGCGACCACAAAGGCAAGGAAAAGGGCGAGTGATTAAACAGTGCGGAAAGACAATTATGTCCCTGATAAACCATTCTTAATTATCTATCATGCTCTCCTCAGACGGGACAAATCTCGATCAAGCGTGGCTTTTATGTCCAATTACTTATATTTTCTTTTATAGACATGACATGACAATCAATGGGAAAAAAACTAGCGACAAAACCTATATTATATGATGTGTGTTAGTAAATGTTCCAAAGAATTCCATAAATCAAAGATAATTTTTTTTTATAAAAAAAAAATCATGTAATTTACTATACATTGTATTAGCAAAATGACAAGCCGGGGTGGAAATCTAGACAATGATTTGCAGTGGGTCCCTTTGTGCTTAGAAGAGATAAGAGCCGTTATTAACAGTCACGAAGTGAGCGATTCGAAAGGTATCTGATTTGATTAGCACCTAAGGCATTTTCTATGGTGTAGATTTTTGTTGGAATAAAAGGATTATATTTTTTTTTTTGATGTAATGTGATTGAATTAATACCTAAGGAAAAAACAAAAGTCTTAATATTTACAGAATAGAAATATTTACAGAATAGAGACAACTCTAAGCGAAACTCCATACATAAATGGACAAAGTATATTTAAATAAGTTATCGAAAATACATTAACAATATTTAAATAAGTTATCGAAAAGTATAACACTAAGTAAGATGTTAAATTCTAAAATGTATATATATATATATCTCTATCTGGATTCCCTTATATATAAGACCTACCCTTTTACACTTCCATAATTCATGAAGTCAACTTACACAATATACATGGGGAGAAATATTTCGTTTGTTTACAAAAGTTTATTTTATATATAAAATAGTTGAATTTTTTTATAAAAAAAGAAGAAGTTTTATCAATACTGTTTTTTTTGGATATGTTATGTCTTCGCACTATCTCATATATTGTTTTTGTTTTGTTTTTTTTCCGTTCACCATTCTGTCTAATCATTTTCGAAAATAATCAACGCATGCATATTTTTAATTCGGTTTGTATTTAAATATTATATATTTCGTGCTTAAGTAGAACAAAGAAAAGTGGAAAAGATTATTTAAAAAAAGAAACGCATGAGAAAAAGACGGCCCTCACGAAGCAGCTATAAATAAAGGAAGTTTAGTTCCTCTTTGGTCCCTCACTCTCTCTCTCTAGATTCTGCGCTTCTTTCCTTTCCGATTTTCCGGTCATCTTTTTCACTTCGCCATCACACAGATCTCAAACCCCATAACTCAAAAGCCACTATATTTTCACATCAGTTTTCGGTGCGAAAATGGTCGACGTGGATCGGAGGATGGCCAGTCTGAGCCCGGCCCACGCAGCCGCCCTCCGCCGTCTCTCAGCCCGCGCCGCCGCACCGTCAACTCCTCCGGTGAGGAATAGTCTCACCTCTTTTTCCACTTTAGCCAACAAAGTAATCGCCCACTTGAGGAGTTCGGGTATCCAAGTGCAACCGGGTTTGTCCGATGCCGAGTTCGCTCGGGCCGAGGCCGAGTTTGGGTTCACGTTTCCGCCGGACCTCCGCGCCATTCTCTCCGCCGGCGTTCCCTCTGCCGCAGGATTTCCAGATTGGTGGTCTCCCCGAGCGCGCCTCCACCTCCGCGCCATGGTCGATCTCCCCATCGCCGCCGTGTCCTTCCAGATCGCGAGAAACACCCTTTGGTGCAAGTCCTGGGGCTCGAGACCCGCCAACCCGGAGAAGGCGTTGCGGGTCGCAAGAAATTCGCTGAGAAGAGCTCCTCTTATGATCCCAATTTTCGGTCATTGTTACATCCCTTGTAACCCGTCTTTGGCGGGTAACCCGGTTTTCTTCGTCGACGAGACCCGGATTTTCTGCTGCGGCTCGGATCTATCCGATTTCTTTGAGCGTAAGTCTGTGTTCCGGTGCTCCGAGTTGAGCCCGGGGATCATCCGTCCGATGAGCGAGAAATCCGCCGGATCATCCTCGGATTTTTCCCGGAGTAGCTCGGATTCGGGTCGGGCAAACTTGTCGGGTGCTACGAGATGGGTCGAGTTCTGGAGTGACGCGGCGATGGATCGCCGCCGGAGAAACTCGGCGTGTTCGCTGTCGTCGTCACATTCATCGTCGCCGGACTGGTACTCGGACCTGCCCAGATCCGAGATTCCGAAATGGGTGGAGGAGTACGTCAATCGGATCGGGTCGGTGCTGAGAGAAGGCGGATGGAGCGAGTCCGACATAAATGACGTCATCAACGTGTCGTCGTCGGGGTTCTTGGAGGGCGAAATGGTAATTTTGGACAACAGAGCGGTGCTCGATGCTCTGCTTCTGAAAGCTGGTCGGTTCTCGGAGTCACTCCGGAGAGGCGGATGGAGCTCGGAGGAAGTTTCCGATGCTTTATGCTTCGATTCCCGACCGGAGAAGGAGCGGAAACCGACGAAGAAGCTCTCGCCGGAGCTCCTCAAACGTATCGGGGAACTGGTCGAGTCCGTTTCCCGGTCGTGATTCTTTTCCCCTCATTATGAATCTCCTTAATCGCATACAAAACACGTATAAGTTACTGTAATCTTTTACATATTTCCCCTATTTTTGTCACTGATGGAAAAAAAAAAAGAAACAGGAGATGAAAATTGGAAAGATTAATAAAATCGGGAATTTGTACATTAATGTCAATGTGGGGCTTTTTATTTACGGAATAATATTTGTTTAGCTTTCGAAGATCGGCATCAACACACGTGTGACAAACACTAATGCTGTTGGGCCCCACGTGCTAACAATGGCAGAACCGACGTCGTTTTACCGCAACACACGATTTCGGAAATTTTTTAAAAACTAATTGATTTTATGAATTTTATTTTCTGTCCGGCAAAATCTGTTAAATATTCAGTTCTTATTCCGACCGTATATCGGTTTCCCTCTGAATTTTTTGTAACCAAATATCTTTGACCAATGTTCAGATTAATTACGGATTCAGAAATCAACCATATGTTTTGGATTATACGTTAATTGTCCAAATGTAAGGTTTAAATTTGGAACGGAACGACGATCTTTTTTAACCGATTAAACTGTCCAAATTTGGATCCGTTTTTGTTAGGTCACGTCCTAACAATGGCAGAACCGACGTCGTTTTACCGCAACGTTAGTATACGATTTCGGAAAATTCTTAAAAAGTAATTGATTTTATGAATTTTAATTTACTGTCTGGCAAAATCTGTTAAATATTCGGTTCTTACTCGGTTTTCTCTGTCGTTTTGGTCTTACGTGGCTTGCACCTTAAAAAAAAAGTTGGTGACACATTTTTTTTTGGAGATGGTGGAAATGATTTTCATGTTTCCAAACCCATTTAAAATCGAGACGAAAAATAATATTTGCGAACTAAAATCGTGTTGATGACATGGCACTGAACAATTATTGGGGGAAATGATACAAATTCAGCCAAAAATATAAGGTGTGTACGATACCTAACTCTAATTAATCATCCCTTTCAAATAATTTAGTTAGATGAAATGAATTGGACAGTCCACAGCTGGTTACACTCATAAATAAATTGTTTGCATATGTTATGATCACAACCAACCATTACCAAAAAAAAAAAAAGGGATGTTGCTGTTGGAATTGTTATTTGAGGCATATATATTATCCCTATATATAATATGTTTGCATTGTTATATACCAAACGCTTTCTAAATACACAAACTCCTCACACCTTTTTTTGACAAAAACATTTCCATACGATTCCTCGATCATTCATTAATATAACAACTTCATTTATACATTTAAGTTTTTTTTAGTAATCGCCAGTCAAAATAGTTCTTGATTGGATCTTCATTCCTTTAAAACCTAAACCACCAAACAAAAATGTTTTGTATTGAAACCAAATTTGGATGGCCTAGTAGTGAGAGAACGTGCATGTTCTCATCCTGGTTTCAAATCCAAGTGTAGAGAGATGCATTCACATGGGCTTCCCCAGTCTTCTTTCTTCTGGGAGATGTAGTCGGGTCAAAGGCCCGATGAACTTTCAAATTATGAAAAAAAAAAATTGTATTGAGATACATACATATATATATATGTATATTGCGTAAGATTATTTATTTCCCTATGAGGATTTTTTTTGGTGTGTTTCATATCGAAATGTGGAATGTTTTCTAATGATACCTTTGCTTCATAGCGTCGGTCGTAATATATGCCCGTGCCAAAGTCTTTGAACATCAAGTCCTTATCATCGAACGGCAACCTAGGAATAATGTCGTAGTTATACACAAACCTATAGTATTTTACAATTTGTTCTCCATAAATTCTGCAAATCTCGAGTCGCCAACCCTAGGTTGTCCGTACGTGTAAACTCCTTGGAGCCTCTCCAACAACGTGACCTCGCCGTGCATTATGAGCACAGCCACGGACAGGATCGCGAGGGCCCCACCCAGGCTATGACCAGTCTACGACAAATCTGGTCCGTGGAGTTTGACGTGTCAGAGATTTCAACTTGTCCCTGATGTCGTAGTAGGCTAGAGGGCACTTACGATTAGGGTTTGGGAGGGGGTGTTTGGGCCAATCGTTATTTAACTGAAGTCCGAGGGCTTTCAAGAATCCACCGTGGATCCTCCCAACTCCTGGGAGATTCCACCACTTGATGTCAACGTCAGTCAACCAATCATCGGAGTTGAACGACTCTGTTCCTCTGAACGCAACCACAATCGTCTCCTCGCCGTCCGACATCATGAACGCTTGTGTTTCGTCCTTTTTCATATATTCTGCCGAAACACGTAGTTAAACCAAGGAAACGAGGAAAAACGCCATGCATGTGGACAAAAAATGAATAAAATTTATAAAACGTGCGTGGATACTTATAGTCCGTACACATACACTTACCGTTCCAGTAGATATCGAAGCTCAAGAACTTCATCTGCAAGAAAAAGCACGATATATCAACACTTTACTCTGTTCCATTTTTCAAGAAAATTAGGATATATATAATTATATATATATATATATACAAGTGTACGGACCTTCCGATGATCTTGAACAACGTATTTGATACGGGCAGAGTTCTCGTAGACGAGTTTAGAGGCCATGATGCACAATGCGGCGTAGTATCTATGCCTATCGCCTTGTCCAAGCTTATTCCTTGTCCAAATGGCCTATCATGGACACGTATTGTGGACATGATTTCACATGTATCACCACTTTTCCTGCATTGTTATACATTTCAGGGAAAAAAAGAAAATGCATGCATGAGAAAAATACACGACCAATTAATTAGAGAGGGGGACTAATTAATTATACCTCGGAGGAAGACATTGGAGAAGGTGTTGTGGGAGAAGAAATTCAATAAGAATTCAGTGGCAGAGCCGATGAGAGACAAGAGCCCGGAGACGGGACGTAGACGTAAAATCTTCTCGACGACGGAGAGCACGTATAGAAGGAACGGTCGGCGGAAGCTCGGCCCACTTGTCTCCAAGACTCCGACGTCAACTGAGTCCGTCTTCTCCATTTCACCCGAAAACTCGCTGTGGCAAGCCATGTCGGTTTATTTCTCTCTTCCTTCTTCCCTTGCAGCACCTGTGTTTATGTCTTTGTACTTTTCTACGCATGTATGCTTATATATATACATACATGCGTGGATGGAATATGTGTATTGGGAACGTAGAATTATAAAACTGGAATAGATGTTTTTCGTCTGAAACAGGTTGTGGTTTTGTTTTTGTTTTTTTTTTTTTTCCATGATGGGGTTTTAGAATCCAACGTTTTTCTCACTTAGGTAGTAATTAAATTGTTGATCAAGGAAATAGCATTAGCCACCACAAATATGGTCGGATAATATTTTCTTTTGGGGCCCAGCTTCTAATATTGGACTGTCGATTATGGGCTCACAACGAATATTATAATAAAATACAATCTGTAAAGCCTGTACTCAAATGGGTTGAAAAATAAGCTTACATTGATGGCCCAAATTTCTTTTTTTTTTTGGGATTTCTGTCAATGAGCTGTTTTTATATAAGCACGTGGTTCAATTTTAGAGTACATGCACGTGTACCCTTCAGATAATATAATCCCAACTATCCCTTTGATGTAAACCCTTTGTAACGTATATAGGAACAGTCAAAACGGCGGCGATTTGTTTTGAAAAATTCAAACAAATAGACAGTTGGCATGTTGAAGAATGTTCGGGTTTTTTTTTTTCAATCGTGTATTGTATTTGAATATTAAAAAAACACGTGTTTTAAATTTTAAAGTGCGTGAACTTATGCGGGGCGGCTGATTTGGATTTGCCTAAACTGAATTAGCGAAGGCGTAACAGTACGTCTTCTTCTTTTGATTTTGACTTGGCCCTTCCATCTCCCGAAGGGCCATTCTTTTTTTTTTTTTTTAAACGGTAACCATGACCCGCTGTTTATTCTCATCATAACTATAAACAGCCTGTATATAATATGTACGTGCTAACAAATCGGATAAAATTAATTTATCATGGCTTAAGTTTCATTTTTTCTAATAAAAAAATTATAGTTAGATGTTGCGACGATTAATTAAAATTTTGATATTATTTCTATAAAATGATATTTTATTGCAGTTCTGCCTTATTAATCCATGTTACGACGATGGTTTCCCACATATTTAAATTATTTAACACGAATTCTTAAATCAATCATAAACAATAGATTTCCCGTTATTTATTATTTTATGAATATATACATATATATATATATATATTATGTATGGATGGGGGCAGCCCTTATGATCGGGTTCAGTGAATCTTCCAAGTTGAATGAGCGGTGGGGTCATATCCACAATTCCTAACTTTTCCTCTCCAATTTCTTGTAGATAAGTCTTTTTTTCCCCTGACGGCCTTGAAATTTTCATAACGAAATAGTTATTGTGATATTAAAGAAATTTATTTCATTTTAAATTGTACCTACCTATGTATTTTATTGATTTTAACCAGTAAATGACGTGTTTTTTTTATTTGCATCGATATATACGTTTATTAAAATTTTGATATGCTTTGGTAGGACCTAAAATTACGGTGAAACTTAAAAACATGTAAAAAAAAGAGCTTCATGAAGTTTATAATATGGGTATATTATAGACAAAAAATACTACAAACTGGGAATCCAACATCCATCATTATGAATTAAATATCAAAACGTAGATATATACCAAAGTGGATAAAATCAAATTTTCTCTGTATAAATATATTAGGATATTAATATTATATACATTACGCGGAAGGTTGAAAAAAGACTGTAACGCCGGATTCAGAGGAATCTTAGGAATATTTATTTTATTTTTATTTTGATTACAAAAGCAACAACGGCGAAAAATGATTAGGAAAAAAAAAGTGGTCAAATGACTCATCAAAAGCAAACGCTGCTACAATGTATGACTTCTTAATAATGCCCGATTTAGATTAGACTATATAATTCCGGTTGGGTATTTTGATTTTGTTTTTATTTTATTTCGTTTAATTGCTGGTTGCAAAGATAATTATTTTACAACTCTTTTCCTTGTCTCGTTTTTCATTCAAAATTTAATATTGTATCAGAATAAACATATCTATATTTTAATTTTTTTTGTTCAGAACAGATAGTACTCCCTCTTTCTCAATAGATATCATTTTAGATTTTTTTTCTAGATTAAAAAAATTCTATATATCTTTATTAAATCATATTTATAATTTTATAATTTTATATAAAATTATAAATTTCATGATTGTTTTATACTCTTTCCGTTTCAAAATATTTGTAGTTTTAGATTATTTTTCATATTTTAAAATATTTATCATTCTACATTATAAAAATATATTTTTACGATAGTTTTCAATTTTATACCTATCAAATTTTAATAATTTATTAATGATAATATTATTTTATTATTAAATAAAGATATATGTGATTTTTTTTTCTTTTTTTTTAAATATAAAATAATCTAAAACAAGTAATTATTCTGAAACAACGACTATTCTATTTATAGTTTTTTGGAAATTAATGAAAAATATAATAGAGAAAAGGGGAGATTTTGAACTTTGATTCCGCAATTTGACGTCTCGATGGCCGAGCGTTTCTCCTTTGCTGTGATGCTCACTTTATTTTATAATTTCTTATTTTAATATATATATATATATAACAATAAATATCAACGAGAATCGTGTAACTATTGCGTAATCATTCTTCCAGTGTCTTCTTGAATAAAAAAAAGAATCAGAGCCGCAACTCGCCAGAGGAAAAGACTTCAGTCGTCAGCAGTTTTCCTTGCGCCTTCCATAGGAAAATAAATATATTAATTCTATTTATTTATAATTTTTTTCATGACAATCAGTTATATGGAAGTTCACTATTTCCCGGGCGGCGCATTTGGACCCTCTATACTGTACCTGGGCATATATATGCTTACGTACACACGCACGTATATCTATGCAATAAATATGCATATGTTATTTTTTTATTATTTTTTGATAAATTATGCATATGTTATCTCTTTTCTAGAAATCGTCAATCATATCGATAAAGCTTCATCAAAATAAACGCCTGTCATCAATCAATACTTCTTTAACTGTGACGTGCGCCGCAAATGCTTTCAATGAAATTTCGTCCGACATGCAACATTTCACGTAGACCAACTTTTTTTTTATACGTCGAAAAACCTATCCTACAACCCTTCGTATCGGATACCGGACACCGTAACGCTTCACAGCTAATAGGCTAGACGAAGACGGTATCAGGACAGCATCGCAGATCAAGAAAAATATCCAAAACTACACATACGAACCTACAATATATACGTAGGAGGTAAAGCAGCCGTAACTGATAGGTAACAAGTGAGAGATAAAGAGGCAGCAAAATCGAACCCCGATCTCATAGTTTCCCTTCATGTTCCTTAACCAACTTACCTAGGGATTCCTCTGTAGACCAACTTTTTGAAATATACTTAATAATTCACGATTTTTTTTACCTTTTTTCTCATTTTTTAAAAAAATATAAAAGTTAAAAGATTATAAATATTTATTCTTCAAATCAGATGGTTTTAATTAAGGAAAAAATCAGAATTTATTTTAAAAAATGATCTAGAATTTCACGCCCATACTTGCCGTGAGGAAATAACCGTAATATCTAGAATGTATGATTACATTAGTGGTGATAAAATAATGATAACTATAGAAACATGATTGGAGTCGTTGTCGGGTAAAGTTGGGTCTGTACTTTTATTGGGGCATCAAAATCGGAATGGGTAAAAATAGAATAAGACTCGGCATGCATGTGACGACTTCACTGAATTCCGGGCTCTCAATTTCTAGTCCAATTAATAAAAAAAATTATATTATTCATCTATATGTTTTCATATATATTCACAGAAACAGATAATTTACAGCTAGTTCTGTGTATCTTGTACTACGCAGTAAATCGTAAAAGTTGTCCCACCAACTAGATATAAGCTAGTAAGTATTATAAACATAATTCTTAATGTCAAAACGAATCGATTTCTAAGACAATGTGGGTAGGGATGTCAATCCAGTCGGTCCGAGCCCACACTTGGCCCGAGAGTTTCGGACTCAAGATTGAAATGATTTTTTCAGACTTATATAACCAAACCTGAAGTCTAGACCGGTCCGTTAAATTCATTTGTAATTATATATATTTTTCTTTAATTTAAAAAAAATATCGGATTTTTGGATCGTCTCAAATCGGGTTTGAAACTCGAATTGAGACCGGTCCAAATCGGTCCCGAAAATCCGAATTGAGCTTGGTCCAAAAATCTGATTTTTTTTCGAACTGGAGAATTTAGAACCGAAACCAGATATTTTTCGGATAAGGTCAGGTCGGGCCTAGAAACTAAATTGACACCTCCTAAATGTGAGGGATGGTCTAAATATGAGGAATGGTACATAATCTATTGCCACAACTCTAACTATATAAAACATACTATTGGAAAGGGAGAGACTCTTGGGGATTGAGCGGGGAAGTTAAATAAAATATTAGGAAAAAAAAAGTGTTTTCCAAAGGGAGAAGGGTTGATTCTTGAATTGACCAACAAACATAGCTTATAATACATATATGTGTGTGTATATGGTCCATAGAGTAAGACCCACCCATGTTACTGATACAGTGATACATACACACTACACTATAGTCGTATACTTAAGAATATACGAACACGTGATAATCCGGTAGGGAATCGAAATAACAAAAAGTGGCAGGAGCATTGTGTATGTTGCGCCCACTTGTCTTACCAAAATTCAAGATTAACATTTTGATTTTTTCAAAGTTTTACGCCCATTCAGCTGTTACTTGTACATATCACATATCAAATAAATTCAGAGAATATGGCATGAGGGAATGTCAAGAATAAAATATCGTTTTGCCGAATCTATAGGAAGATATTATCAGTATTGTTAGGATTTAATATAGATTTTATCCTTTTAGTATACTTCATTGTATTTTGCTATATATACAAGTGAAGACTTGAGTTCAATTTTTCATTACAATTTTAGCCATTTTTAAAGTTTATGTATCCGACCTCCAAACGAAAAATAAATAAATAATAATGTTGAACACAAAAATTTTGCTATTAAATATAAACATTAATTTCAGACTACTTCCTTATTTGTTTATTTATGTTCACTTAGATTCAAAATTTATTTGAAAAAACTCCGATATCCAGGAAATATTCACCTGCGGCTGTTTGAAAATAAATAGCGTAAAATCGTGATATATGATTTTTTAACATAGAAAGATAATTATATATTTTTAACCATGGTTGATCTAGTGTGCTATGATAAAATATCTCGTGCATAGATGTTTTGAATCGCAAATTAATTAGTAATATAATGAAACTGAGTTAACGCAAATTCAAGATAAACTCACTGAGCAATAACGCTTATAACGATAACAATAATTATTACGACAATTATTATAATTCTCATTGATTAAATATCAAACATGTTACAGAATTATCAGTGGTGGAAAATATCTGTACCCCGTGGGACAGCGAAAGATAGCAAGGGTGCGATGATATTTTTTCTTAATACATTTTATTCTTATACAATAAGCAGTGCACATTAGTTTATTCCGTTTTCTTGGCAGTCCAACCAAGAAATATCAGCACTCGTCACGTGCATTAATCATCCCCACAAATTCAAACTGGGAATTTATTAAACACGTTTCGAATTCCGAGGAAAAAAAATCACTATATAAAGAGGAACTCGCGCGAGGAGGCACAAACAACAGTCACCAGCTCCGTGCTCTGTTCTTCTTTTCCTTCTCGCCAAGGACATCCACACGCACAGAGAAAAAAATTAGAAACTTTCCTTCATAAATCACCCAAATCTTAAAACCCCACAGCAAAATTTCCTTAATTTCCTCAAGAAATCGCATCCATGAAGTGGGTTCGAGGAGAGACAGTCGGATACGGGAGCTTCGCCACCGTGAGCTTAGCGACGCCAGCGAACAAATATTCCGGTGAATTCCCGCCATTGATGGCCGTGAAGTCCGCCGAAAAATACGGAGCCGCCTCGCTCGCGAACGAGAAATCGGTGCTGGATCAGCTCGGTCACTGCCGTGAGATCGTACGGTGCTTCGGCGACGATCGGACGGTGGAGAACGGTGAGGAGATCTACAATCTGCTATTGGAGTACGCTTCGAGGGGAAGCTTGGCGACCCACGTCAAGAAATCCGACGGTCTACCGGAATCCGCCGTGCGCCGCCACACCGAATCGGTGCTCCGGGGACTGCGTCACATCCACGCGAGTGGCTTCGCCCACTGCGATATAAAGCTCGGGAATATTCTAATGTTCGGTAACGGCGCCGTTAAGATAGCTGATTTCGGGCTTGCGAAGAGGATAAAAGTTGTTGACGGAGAAGAGACGGCGTCAGAAGGGACGAAGATCAGAGGGACGCCGTTGTATATGGCGCCGGAGTCTGTGAACGACAACGAGTACGGATCAGAAGCGGACGTGTGGGCGCTCGGATGCGCCGTAGTTGAGATGTTTAGCGGCAAAACGGCATGGAGTTTCAAGGAAAACTCGAACTTCATGTCGTTGTTGATGCGCATCGGTGTTGGAGACGAAACCCCGAGGGTTCCAGAGGAGTTGTCGGAAGTGGGAAGAGATTTCTTGTCCAAGTGCTTCGTTAAAGATCCAAAGAAGAGATGGACGGCTGAGATGCTTTTGTGCCATCCATTCGTAGCCGTCGATCTTGGACACGATGATGATGATGATCATCAACTGGATGAAGAATTCGCCGTGGAAACGAAGAAAGAGGAAGTTTCGGCGTCACCCAAAGGGCCATTCGATTTCCCCGACTGGGATTCAGAATCGTTGGATTCACAGACGCGATCTCAGCCGTTGGATTGGCCGGAGGAGAGAATCGGCAGCCTGGCAACTGACTTCATCCCTGACTGGTCTGTGACGGGGAATTGGGTCACCGTCCGGTGACTGTGATTAGAAAAGAAAAAAACGGGAGAGAGTCGTACACGCATTCTGGCCTGGGGCTGCCCCTTCAATTTTTTTTTTTTTTTTTTTTTTTCCTCGAGAGGCTCATCAAATCCAACGGTTATAATTCCTTCTGTTGGATTTACCATTTGTTGACTTGATGTGAATGATCAAAGTATCTTCTTCTTTTTCGTATGAGATGCGTACTGGTGTTGTATATATACGGTCATTTGTATTCTTTGATTCAATACCAAATAATATTTCCAAAAACATGATATAGACTTGAAAAAAAAATGAATTACTAGTGAATCAGTCCAAGCGTGCCGTGCCATGATTTCGTTTGATCAAGGATTAGTAATTCCTTCTGTTGGATTTACCATTTGTTGACTTGATGTGAATGATCAAAGTATCTTCTTCTTTTTCGTATGAGATGCGTACTGGTGTTGTATATATACGGTCATTTGTATTCTTTGATTCAATACCAAATAATATTTCCAAAAACATGATATAGACTTGAAAAAAAAATGAATTACTAGTGAATCAGTCCAAGCGTGCCGTGCCATGATTTCGTTTGATCAAGGATTAGAATGTGCCATTATCGCAAGATTTCTTCCATTTTTCGCTAAACCGATCGACCAAATCAAATAACCAATATAATCTGAATCTATTCATGGTAAATGCAAGAACTTAGGAACAGAACATATCATCAAAACACCAGAACCGTTTGGATTAGTGATCATCTCTACCACCAAAATAAAATAAAATACCCGTTACCAAAAAAATAAAAAAATAAAATAAAATAAAACATTCTTGGATTAATTAATATATATATAAGGCAATCAACTGTCTTTCTTGAGAGCGACGTTCTTGCAAAGAGGGCACGAGTTCTTGGTCGTGAGCCAGCGTTTGATGCAGCTGTAATGAAACATGTGACGGCATTCCAGTTTCACCACATCCTCCCCCGCTTTATATGTTTCCTGTATATAACACGTTATCCGTATATACATACACTCTCTAGCTAACCATAAAAATGTAAAATCAAAATCAAGAAAATATATAGTCTGACCTGACAGATACAACAAATCTCTTCGCTGTACTGATACTTGTACCGAGACAGGAGCTCTTCGACGGTTTTATCGCTAAGTCCGGAGCCGACATTCCCGAGCCTCTCCTGCAGTTCAACTAACTCCTCGTAACTCGTTATCTCGTCGTCCGAATCTTCATCTATCTGCAAAACAATTTCGATGCCATCAGAGATCAAGAAAACGATGCAGAATGATAAATATTCAAATCTGCTCATTCATTCCACGGCACGTGTGGCTCACCCAACCGCCGCCATTGCTGATGGTAGCTGGAGATCCGCATTGTTGGCAGTACAAAAACCCGTCAACAACGGACGGAAACCCCTCATGTCCGCATCCCGTACAGATCGTACTCCTTGTGTTCACCACTTCCCAAATAGGCGCTCCATTTGTGGAAGGCGGCTGCACAGAAAAAATTCCAACAAAAAATATATATCCCCGAGAAATCAGATCAAAACCCGTATATTATATATATATATATATATACACACACACTTACAGACAGCAAGATGTGAACTCCCCTAGGCCTAGAACGCAAAGATATTGTATAGTTTCGGTCGGAGCCACTATTCGCCTCCTCATTATCCGTCTCACCTCCCTGCAATTATAAAATTTCGAATCAAAATATGTAATAATCTCATGCGATGATACAAATTGAGTGAGAGATTAATAGTTAAGATCGAATTCATTACTTGACGTCGAATCCGCGGACGGCTTGGTTCGACTGAAGGATGGATTCCCGACGCGTAATAAGAAAAATTGTATACACTAGCACCGGTCGATGAATTCGGTCCTTCGTTTATTTGATGGCTCTGAACACAATTTAACCAAAAAAAGAAAAAAAAGATTTTAAACAAAGAAACAGATATTCGTTTAGGGGACGAGATATATATATATATAAGAGACGAGAGAATTCTCAGGCAGTTTCTTGTTTTTACTTACAGTTACGGACCGGCTTGTAGAGTTCTGGTCCGAGCCATCGTTCATCTCACCGTCTCTTGCAGTATTTGCTTCCGTCGAATGTGTCTGCGCGCGTATTTAAGCATAAGGTTCGATACAAATATGAGTGAATCAAATATTATATATATTGTTGATCAACACACACGCACACACACACATATATATATTTGTGTATGTAAAGGCTCGCAAATATCAAGCGAATACGGTCAATATATGTATATAATTGACAATAACCTACGTGGGAATTGAAGCGAGGGATATCTGCCATTGTCGATGCAATTACGATCTCTGCAAATATGAAGAGACGACAAACGTACGGAAGAGAAAAAATCGGGTGAAGTCGATGCGACGAATTCGATAACAAATTCACAAAAAGGCATTAGTTTAAGAGGAAAAAAAGACGATTAGCGATCGAGGGTTTTTTTGAATAAACACAAACATAATTAGGGTTTTGTTTTACCTTGAGAGGCTTTGAGACGAAAAATACAGGGCAAGAGGCGTGTGACATATAATATATTATATATATATCGGGAGAATAACAAAAAAATATATAAAAAAGGAAATAAAATATCATAAACCTAAACCAATTATAATAATGTCCCTATGAGTTCAATTAACGGAGTAAACTCAATCTCTTCATGAGAAACTGAAACTTGAAAATAACCGAGCTATATATCTAAATTATTAACTCAAAGACTAAAACCCTAGGATGTTCTTTACCAAAAAAACCCCTAGGATCTTTTGTACAATCCGATAGATCTTTGCATATCCAAATCAATTCAGATTCTCGTTCGACTTTCGGGTCTCACATGTAAAGCGGTCGAATACTTTTTAACCCGAAGTAAATTAATTTATTGAGCTCGACAGAAGATGAAATAATTTTATCATTATAGTGCCGTAAGTAAATTAATTTATTGATGAATGGAGAACCTTCAAAGATTTGTTTCCATCTTAGATAATATATATATATAGTTGTATAGACATACTTAAGTCCGAAGGAACAACATAATTGTTTCTAGTTGGACATATTTTCGTCGTTTTCGGGTTTGATCGACACTTAAAGAGCCTGGTAAAGGAAACATCAACACCTACCTAACCCATTAAAACATTCTGGTCCGACCTTTTTTTTTTTTATTATTATTATACATTACTACACAATTTTCTTATATTCACCAGTTCTTTCACTGATATACATATATACATAAATATTATAATCATGACGAGAGTTTGATGTAACGGTGAAGGAACAAGAGCGTCCTACGCATGCGAGGAGCTGCCAATTGCCATGCATGGAGAAAAAGACATATACAAGATTTGTTTATGGCAGTCTAACAAGATTTTCTCAAAATAACCTTATGTTAATACGAATTTAAATGATACATTTCGCCTATGGTTGATCCACTTTGAATTGAATGGGGCTCCCTCTTTATTGTGTTGTTGAATTTTGTTGGGAAATTTTGAAATAGGGAAAAGAAAAGTTTCGACCTTGGAGTGAAAAAAAGCACCTTTTTCTTTTTCTTGGCTTATTGGGAAAAGATAGAATATTAGAGCTTAGATTAACAAATCCTTAAAGCCCGCGTTTAGCACCTAAAAAATCTCTTGCCCCGTCTTAAACCACAACAGTGCATCTTCGTTCTTGCTTTGATTTCCATCATTGAGATTTGTCGCTGGTTCTCTCTCTCTCTCTCTCTCTCTGCATTAGCAAGCAGCCATGTCGGCGTGCCCCAAAGGCTTATGCAGAGCCGTACCAGTCGTCCTCCACCTTACGCTTCTTCTCCTTTCTCCCTCTTTCTCCATTTCCTCCTCTTGCTCTAATGGCAATTGCCAGGTATCTGGGCTCTGGTTGATCTCTGCGGTTTTCTCGTTTTTTTTTTGGCATGGGGTTGATCTAAAATTATAAGGGATTCACATTTTCAGGTGTTGGATTCGTGTTCCACGGCTACTGACTGTGCCACGGGTTTGTACTGCGGGAACTGTCCTGCCGCTGGGAAAACTCACCCAATCTGCACAAGAGGCCAAGCCTCCATTCCCACTTCTATTGTGAGATTTCATCCGATGGGTTCCTCTGAATGTCCGAAATCTATATTGGGTTTCTCCAGATTTGTAAACTTGATGATGGGTTTGTGTGAATTTGTTAAATTAATGCTGGGTTGCTTCAAAGTACACACCTTTTAACTTGATGATGGAGTTCTTTGGAGATTTTGGTATCGGTAGACAGTTTCTTTTTGTTAGAGCTGCTTTCTGATTTGTGTAGCTTATATAATCTGTGTCTGTGTAGATCAATGGATTGCCTTTCAACAAGTATACATGGCTAGTGACTCATAATTCCTTCAGCATCGTAGATGCGCCGCCTTTGCCAGGCTCCCAAAGGCTCACATTTTACAATCAAGAAGACAGTGTCACGAATCAGCTGAGAGTATGTGCTTATTAACCTTCATTCAAGCTCAAGCCTCTGCTTGGCTCCTCAGAAACGGAATGAAAATTAAAAGGGAAATGCCCAAATTGGTAGCTTCAGATTGGAGAGAACTGTTTACTGTCTCAGCTTGCTTAATATTATAAGTCAATTGACATATTGTTATGTCAATTAAGTGTATTTGTATTCTACTTGTTGCAGAATGGAGTTAGGGGCCTAATGCTGGATATGTATGACTTCGACAACGACATCTGGCTTTGTCATTCGTTTCGGGGGCAATGTTTCAACTTTACCGCCTTTGTAAATTGCCTTCAGCTAGCTTTTTGAATTCAATCTTTAGCTATCCGCATTACCTGTTTGAATGATTCGAATAGGTTCTTTGATCAGCAACCTGCCATTAACACGCTGAAGGAAGTCGAGGCATTCCTCAGCCAGAATCCAACAGAGATTGTTACCATCATAATTGAGGACTACGTGAAAACCCCTAAAGCCCTATCAACTTTGTTTGCTAATGCTGGTTTGGAGAAATACCAGTTTCCTGTCTTAAAAATGCCCAAAAAAGGTGAAGATTGGCCCACTGTGACTGAAATGGTGCAAGAGAATCACAGGCTTCTGGTTTTCACTTCGGTTGCCGCAAAAGAAGAAGAAGAAGGAGTGGCATATCAATGGAGATACATGGTTGAAAATGAATGTAAGTTGAAGGGCCGATAAACTATATCACATATTAAGACATTTACATCAGTTGCCTGAATAGGTTTTTGTGTTTTTTCTATTGTGCTATTTCCTTTTGTTTGTGCAGCTGGGGATCCCGGAGTTAAACGGGGTTCTTGTCCCAACAGGAAGGAGTCACAGCCATTGGCATCCAAGAGTTCATCATCACTTTTCCTGATGAATTACTTCCCCACATATCCGGTTGAACGAGAAGCTTGTGAAGCGCACTCAGCTCCGCTTGCTGAGATGGTCGGAACCTGTTTGAAGGCATCTGGGAATAGAATGCCAAACTTTCTTGCTGTTAACTTCTACATGGTATTGAATCTCAACCAAGAAGATGAGAAAAAGAAATCAAAAGTAATGTGATAGTTTTTGGAATCTCCTAAACTTTGTTCAAAAAACAAATTGCAGAGAAGTGATGGAGGGGGTGTTTTTGAGGTTCTGGATAGAATGAATGGACCGGTCTTATGCGGATGTAGCACCATTTCCGCCTGCCAGGTTCTGCTCCTCGACTTGTATAACCATCAAATGTCTTGTATACCTTTGATTTTGCCGTGTAGAAACCAAAACCTTTTCTGAACTGACTCGGTTAATCTTTTCCTTTTGATGCAGCCTGGAGCACCTTTTGGTTCTTGCAAAAACGTTCCTCTCCCGACAAGAACTCCGGAAACAGTTGGCACATCCGGAACCTTCTCTGGATCGGTCCAGTTCTCAAAATCACTGTCACCTATCCATTCTCCAAGTCACATCGTCCTCTTCTTGTCATGGCTCCCGTTGGCGATATTCATGCTATGACACAACCGCTTGGTAACTCTTAGGTTAGAATGTTTAGTCACTTCCAGTTTGGAGATGTTATGCTCGGGGGGACGGGATATTGCCTCAGATTTGTGGGTTTTCAGTTTTAAAGTTTCTGGCTTTGGGACTCATTCCTCCAACTATTTGGTAGATTCAGCCATTTCGTTCACCGTATATCTCGAGTATTTGCATATAGGAACCGTGTGTATGGATTGAAATGGCTGCTGCTCTAGAGTTTCAGATTCGATTCTGATATTTGTAGACTGCAGATTTTTATAGGCAAATATTGTCACGCCATCATTGTGTATGTTTCTGAGTTGTGTCTAATGTTTGTGCCTTCATATATAGAGATAAAGCTAATATAGATTGTTTTGTGGTGATGTTTCAATGGAAGCTTCCCCTGTTAATGTTCCCTTTCTGTTCTTCAGACATCCGCAGTTCATAAAAAGATGAGTGTGTGTTTCCTGGAGCATGTAAGATTGGATCAAACAATGTATTGACCTTTTATTGACATATATATCATGGATTCAAATAATTGTTGATGTCGGAATCATATGTACAAGCATATCAACATTTGAATACACAACCAAACAGGGCAATGTTATTTGCTACAGAGCATGCAACAGTGGTGGTGGATTCTGAGCATTTAAGAGCAGCTCGAAGGGCTTGATTTGAAGAGCAGGACTGATGGAAAGCAGAGCAATGAAGCAATCCACAGGAACCCTAGTTCCCCATAAGTTGATGGACTCGAGTTTCCTGCACTTGTCGACAACAGCGAGAAGGCCTCTCTCTGTGACATGGCGGCAGCACCACAGGCCGATGCTCTGAGAGGATGATAATGAACAAACAGGTAAAAACACTTGGGAATGATTGATAGATATTCAAGAACAGAAAAGAAAAAAGGGGGTTTAAGTTCTTATGTAATGATGGTAGCACCTTAAGATGATGGCAGCATCCAGCAATGGCGAACAGGGACTCGTCAGTGATGAAAGTTCCGCCCACGTTCAGGTGTTGCAGGGAGGAAGTTCTTGATATCTGTTGGAGAATGTTCGATTCAAGAGGAAGAAAAAAAAGGTGAAGAGTCTTTCTGATGATGGAACGAATGAATATTCAAGATTCATCACATACAATGCATGTTCTCTCTGTGATCATGACAAAGATTCATACATAATCCATGTCTGAAACTCGAAAGCATGGGACATACCAGTTGAACAACACCGGTGTCTGTGATGGCAGTCATGCCCCATAAAGATATAGAGCTCAAGTTTCCGACACATTTCGCCGAGGCTATCTGGTAGAGACCGTTATCTGTTATTTGGCAACCCCACCTGCTCCTCGAGCTGGAATTACAAGACATGGCCACACCATACAATCAACAGAGATCATAGTAGTGGAGGAAAAAAATCGGAGATATCAAAAGATTTCCCGACATAAAATCCAGTTTACAGATAGAACGATCCCGATAGGGGATGCTCCTCCAATCCATAATTTTCCCGTAAATAATCAAATTTTATGATTTTCAGACCAAACCAATGTGCTTCAGCCCAGAAGTTCTGGAGAATTGATGCTTAAAGGCATCTCAAAAGCCAAAGTCGAAAACTTGGACAATCATGGCGAACCCGCGAAGATTCCAACTCTCGGGAACATTATAATTGGTAGGGGAAACGCCATTGCAGCAAAAACCCAACCCAGACATCATGATCACCGACAACAAACAAACTCCAAACGTTCGATCGAGAGAGAGAGAGATGAATCACATGTCAAGTTCTTTGAGGTTGAGAGCGAGATGAACAAGGCGAGCAGTGGAGTCGTCGTCCATTTTCCACCCAGCAAAGCTCAGAGACTCTCTTCTCGCCATCGATTGCTTCACGGCTTTCCTCCATTTCCTGCAAACCCCACTTGCCCTAAACCCCCAACCCAAATTCACTTCTGTCTTTAATTTTCTCATGAACCAAAAAAAAAAATCCAAGCAAAATCTATGAAAAAAAAGAAGAAGAAAAACGAAGTATCTGACGATCGTATCGAAGAACACGTACTGCGCCAAATCGGTGAAGGAAGTGGTCAACGAGAATATAAACGCCAACAGGTCCAACGGCAACCGATCAATCTCCGCTTCCTCACCCATGAGTCGCGGAGCTCCGACACTGGAGTTTGGTCGCCGATCCCAGTTCCTGTCGGGAAATGCGTTTATATACGCATTCAGAAACAGATTCCGTCAGTTGTCGATATTTACAGAACAGGAAAGCGTGGAAGATGTGGTCATCCTTTTGTCATGATTTCGAGAATCTCCCGTCATCGTTAAAATTTCAAAATTGTAACTTAAATTTAATTAGGATTTAACTTATTGTGTCCTTCATTCATTAGCGTGGGAAACTAGCCTTGAGTCCTTTTCTTCCGCACGTCACGTGGCACGTGCGAGACCGCGGGGGATTTCGTACTTTTCCGTGAAGAGAAATATAATCAAAATATATAAATCTCCTCTCACGTAATCTATAACTTGGGTTGACAATATAATATTATTCGATGCTCCCGGTCCAGCTCGAACCGCCACCGGTTTACCCAAACCGAAATTCGTTGCCGTACGTAGGTGACAGGTATATATGTACCAAGTAGCGTACCAAATTCGATTTTAACGATACTACGTTGGATATGCATTGGGCTTGTATAATATAAGATAAAAATCATACGGCCCAATTTCGAATTACGTATTGATGGACCCAATAATAAAATAAAGAATGGGTCTTCCGAATGACTTCATGGACACAGTCTCATTCGGCCCTTTTGTAGATTGCTTATTCTCGGGGCTTAGCCCATTAATGTACCTCATAAAAGCCCACATATATGTATGGCCCATTTAATAGGCCTGGGCTTTCTTGCCGCATTTTGTTTCATAATACCTAATTCCGTACAATATATATAATTAAATCAATGTATTTTATAAATTTGATTGAGATACAAATATTCAGATTTTACAAAATAAATATTTATTGATGTCATTTAAAATTTAGAAAATCCAAGGGAGCATAAGTGACAACTAAGGAATTCAAAGATGGATTGGATTAATTTTTGTCTTCTTCTACCGTTTATTGATTAAAAACGAAAATATATTTATATAAGAAAATTTGTTATCAAACAAAACTAAATCGGAATTTAGAGAAGTTCATATGGAGGGAAGACATGGCAGAAAAAGGGTGAGGAATAATGATCGCAAAGAAACAGGGACATTGACAGCGATTGGGGAACACATATCCCAAACGCCCATCAAATCAAACTCCACCATGTTGGACTTATCCAACTTGTGTTCTTTTGCTCCTCCGGTATCTTTCATTTTCCCTTCTCTCTATTCTATTATATATACATGCATATATATGCATACATTATAAACTCAATATATACTTTGATATATATATATATAAGTAATTGGGTTGTTATGTTAATTATGAGGTTTATGCTGATAACTTTGATCAAAGTTTTGTTTGATTAAAAATCATCAAAAATTGGTCCATTTGATATATATGATGAGAAACATAAATAAATAACCCAAGCTTGGATGGTCTAGCGGTGAGAGAACATACAAAGCATGTTCTCATCCTGAGTTTAAATCCAAGCGTGGAAAAAGGCATTCACATGGGTTTCTCCGGCCTTTTGGGAGATGTAGTCGGGTCAAAAGTCCGGTGAACTTCCGGATTATAAAAAAAAACATAAATAAATAAATAATACATATACACACACAACACACAATCAACTCAATAGATATTTTATATCAATCGAATCCATGCAGTACGTATAAACTCCGAGAAAGAAAGTAGGTGGTGATTTTATGATGCTACAAGCTCCGGATCTTCTGCAATAAATACTATATAGTTCCACAGATTTTAATGATATAACGTGTGCAATGGCCTCTTTTTTTTTCAATAACGTCAAAAAAATTGAAATATGTGATTGGAAAAATTTGCACCTATAGATCGAACGTTCTCATGACAACCATGTAATTATAACAGGGGGGGGGGCGAAAATCAAAGAAAAAATGAAATAAAAATTTTAAAAGCATCAACGTATTTTTTTTTATATGTAATGTGATTGCGAATTAGAAAAAAAAAGGCATCACCGTATAGAGTTAACGAATCGAAAGGTTCGTACATATCCACACAGTGACAGATCGCAATACAAAGCAATGAGAAAGCGAAATGGTAAAAAAAAATCAAGAAAATTCCAAAACAAGTCGTCCTAATTCTGTCCCATCTCGAGATAAAAGCGAAAAATCTTTACCTTCGCATGCATCGTTGTCCATTTATTTATATATATATAAAAAGAAAATGGTGATGCAAATTATAATATTATCAAGTATGATTGTGTGTGTGTGTGTATATATATATATATATATATATATCTCATAACGTACCAATGGAACATATAAATCTGAATGGTGCCCACTTATGCGGAGGCAGAAAACAAAACAACCCGATGATCCAAAAATCTTATCCATTTGATATATGAAGTTTGTATAAATTAATAACTGAAAAAAAAAATTGTGGGTATGCATTGTCAACTTGTATCGTATCATGGCATGGTAGGCCATTTTTTTGTCTCCTTTCATTTACCACCTTTATGTCCTCTCCTTTTTTTTTTTTCTATTTTCCCCTAATAATAATTTCCTTACCCCAATTCTTCTTCGCCAATTTCACATTTTACTAGCAGAAATATTACACCATATATATAATCTATAGACTGCCGATTTTATTAAAAGATTTCATTTTTAAGACACACGAGGTAACCATTTGGAATCCATTAATATATGTTAAAGTGCAGTAAATGTTTTATGCAGTCATATAACAATATATATATACGAATGGACATGATAATTTGAGATTTATATATGGAGGAGATCGGTCGATAATGATTAGTATTATACAATTAGCCTCCTTCTCGATTGCCTACAAATTCCATCATCCTCAAAACCCATATGGGGAAAAAAAAAAGAATTACAAAAAAAAACGGATGGGAAAAAAAGGCCTGAAATTTTCAGAAAATAAAGAGAAATTTCAACACACACAGAGAAGATGGAAGAAACAGAGAGTTTCCGTACCGAAGCTAATGTTTTCATACAAATGGCACGGCGCACCTTAGCAACAGCCACCGTTGTCCGAGAATTCCTTCTCTGTCACCTTTTTTTTTTCGAATTAATTTATTTTGCTATCCAAATCATCATCGGAGCTCTCCGGGTCGGGCATCTTGTTCAAGTCAACCCGCTCCGACAACCCGCCGCCACTCCCCGACCTCTTGTCTTCCTCTTCTTCGTGGCTTTGATAACCAACGCTAATATCATTGTTGCCGAGACCACAGTCTCGATTTTGACCAAAAGCACGGTGGCTGTTGTTGTGGACCGCCGTGCCGAGGGCGTCGACCTGAGCTCCGACCTCGGTGGCCTTCTTCCGGATGGTGGCGGCGGACAAGACCTCGGCGGCGGAGGATTTCTCGACGGGTAAAAGCTCCGGGAAGTTGAGGCGGGCCGAGGGTCCCCGGAGGTAGAAGACGGCGGTGTCGTACGCACGCGCCGCCGCTTCGGGCGTGGAGTAAGAGCCCAGCCAGATCCTTGACCGCTTGTTCGGCACCCGAATCTCCGCGACCCACTTCCCCCACTTCCTCATCCTTATCCCTTTGTACGGCCTCTCCCTCTTCCTCGTACTCGCCACGTCGCCTCCTCCTCCCCCGCACTCCATTACGGTCAGTTTCTCCTGTATCCCGCCTGAAAGTCTCCGACTTTCCAACCGGGTCTGCGAGATTATCCGGTTTCTTGATCTGGGTCGAGAAAGAGAGAGACTTACATGCTCAGGTTCCAGGACAGGGAATAAGGATGTCGGAGAGAGAGAGAGAGAGAGATTACAGGTGGTATATGATGGGGGAAGAAGAGGAGAAAATTCCAAATTCACCGACAAAGAATCGAAGCGGATTTGGCTAAATCAGGACATAAACACTGCCTTGAAGGTGGGTTTGTTTGGTATAATTGAAAAATGTGGGAGGAAACTGTAAATAAAAATTATTCGGTGACTGTGCGAGTTTTTTTTAATGGAACAGAAGCCTTTTAAGCTGATAGGTGGATGGAGAGGTGGCGGAGATGCTTAGATTTTATAATTATAAAATACTTTCGCCTTTTTAAAGAATGCATGACAGTACAAGAAAAAATAACATTAAAATATGATAAACCCTCCTTTATTTTATATTGCTGACCGGAATTATAATTACATACGATAACACTCAAATTATTTGAAGAAAATTATTCCTCAATTTTTTTAATCCAGATTAGAAACTATTTAATTTCTCTGTTCATCTCCAAAAATGCGTACAAGTTGACATGATTATATGAAATCCTAATCAACTCTGGGCTGAATTTATTTTTAAGCTAAGTTAGAATATTTCAAACAGTTTCAGATATGCCAATGATACATATTTATATCAAACCAATAATCATTTTACCAACAAACGTTAAATCTATGTAGATGTTCAAATCGCAAGTTTTCACATGTTTTTCTACTTGCAAGTATATATATATATATGAATATCTCTCTTCACATTTATTTTTTTACTAATAGGTCACCCAAATTTTGGGTGAATCTTTTATTTTTTTTGTAACGATCCGTGAAATTTGACGGACCATTTTGTAGCAAACCATGTTAGCGTATGATATAAATAATATATAGTATGGTTGTGCGAAAATGTAACACAGAAGCATAGAGGGAGAGGGAGGACGAAGGCGAAAGTTAGGTCGGTGGTCGGTGGCTCTGTGGATACCGTTAGGGATTGACTTTATCTCTACGCCAATGACGCCACGAAGATTGTACATTGTCCTTTTTGTCCTTTTGTTTCCCACGTAATCTCGCTTTTGTCCCTTTGGAATTCTCTCCCTGTCCTTTTATTTTTACAAGGAGAATCTCGGTATCTCCTTTTTATTAATAATAATAATAATAATAATTCCCATAAAAACGATACCAACAATGATAGTAATAATGACCCCAATTAATATCTACTAAATAGTAAATACCATTTCCTTAAATAGCTTGTAAACTAGTAAACTGTGTATATGTGTATATTCGGTGTTTGGAACAACAAATATAATTAACAATCTTTATATTCTTTTCATATAGAAATATCATAATAATAGACAGATATTTATCTATTTATAATTTCTAATATTTTTTTGTTTGATGCACGTAGGTTGTTCAGTTAGATTTTAAAAACATCATTATAATTTATATACAAATGCATATTATTATTAAAATTTTGGAGGAAAATGATTAAGTAGCAATGACTCGAGCACCATCTCGTTTGGCTGAAAGACTTTATGGGATGGACCAATCCTCATGTTGCTTTTCGGGATTTTCGAGTTGTCAATTCACGAAATTATTTTTTAAAATAAATCATAAGGATTATTTATATTCTTCAAAATGGATATTATAGTCCCACCATATAATGAAGTTTAGACCATGATATTTATGTTTATATTGACTTGTTTCTTCGTGATTTCAATAATGAACACTTGACTGTATCCAAGAAAAGTCCTTCATGCTCAGAAAAATAAATTCGATTTGATGCTTTCAGAAAAAGTCGTACTAACTTGGCCGAAAATAAATTCATTTGTAATTAAATAAGTTGAGGAATTGCAATTTGCCTCGAGAGAACTATAGGAGGAAAAATAATATAATGAATTTAGAATATACAATATGGTATAGACTAGTATTTATGTTCCTTTCATAGCAATACCGTCCTCCGTGACTCGTAACACACGCAAAATAAATTAATAAATACTATCATATGGGTGTTATAGAAAAACCTGGCATTACAATATATATATTCGTATTGTTTTTCTGTCCGACTTGTAAATATATTACACAAATAAAGAAATATACACATAAAATACGGAATTTTTAATAGAATACACGATTTTATTTTTTGGAGCATGTGAAATTTAATAATGAGCTTTTTAGCTGTGAAGCAGTTGGCACGTTAACATGGCGCCAATTACCACGGAAAAGCAAAAACACAAATAAATTTAAAAGAATGGACCACATTGTAATTTATATACATATATATCAACAAATTGTTTTATATCGACGTTAGGTAATGTTTATAATATAGGAAATATATTAGGTCGGAATGGAAATGGTCCAGTTCATATAGTTGTATATAGTCAGTTATATATCTTCATATATTCTTTGTTTTCCAAAAAATTAATAGAAGTGCCAGAAAATTCAAAAGATAAAACAATAAATTTATATATTTATAAAATTATAGTCTGACTTACAATTGTTGAACTTATTTATGTATGTATTTGGTAGATTGATATAAATCTATGTATTTTCAGATAATTTTTGTTAAGTCAAATCACAATCAGATTAATAAAAAAATATGGGGAGCTCCCACTAAATTTTAAATTTGCTTAATTTAATTATGAACCATTAATTAATTGTAAAATGTTAATGACTGGATCTTCGGTCGACTGTTAAGGCCCATTGGGTGGTTTATCAAGAAACTCTATGAGGCCATCTCACGTAAGTGGGCTTGTAATGTTACTATTTTATTAAGATGGGCTTATGTCTTGGATTTTAATGGCCCATTATTGTTCCCCCCCCCCCCCAAAAAAAC